CATCTTATTTTGACTTACTTAAATTGCTCCAAACAGGATCTCCTGAAAGTTTTAGATTGGCCTAAAAGGGTTTAGATTGACAGTGTGTTCTAAATTGTCTATTTCCAAGACTGTCCAGTATTACTGTCTTCTGATGTATTTATTTGTAGTTGCTTTTTCTGGTTGGATTCCCCCCCTGTATTTTAGGGGAATTTCTTAGTGATCTGACCTTACATTTCTTTTTCTTTCACATCTTCTCTTCAGATTGCTTTTATAATTCTGCTTTTGTCTGCAACCTTTTTTTCTGCTCTCCTGTTTCATTGCCTCTATTGTACCTGCCAGTTTTCCCTTAAAGCGAATGGGGCTAAAATAAACGAGCTTTAACTCAAGTTCCTTCCACTTGCTATCTTCTTTCTAATTCAGATCTGTGACTTCATGTTCATCTGCATGTTTTTCCTTCTACTTTTGTACTGGAGCAGTAGAAGGATTTTGCTACAAATAGACTCCTCCTTTCTTCCTGATTAGAATCTTGGCTTCTGATTTCATGCCTGTGGCAATTAGCCTCTCGTATTTTAATGCACTGGGAGGTGTTCCTCAGGTGAGGTAATCCCTATGCAGATATTCCATTCCTACCTCAATGTCGTGTCCTCTTTCTTCAAAGCCTTTTCTGACTCAGCTGTCTCCCAGTGCAACATGCTACAGCTTGCCCCATTCGTTTAACATTATCATATGAGCTTGTAGTGACAGTAGTCTTTCCACAAAAGCTCTGCCCTTTTTGTGCTGCGTCTTCCTGGAACTAATCGGTAGAGCCCCTGGCTGCTTTAAACTTCAGATTGGCACTGCTGTGGCATAGTTGACTAGTGACAGCTGAAGGAAGGGAGTGTTACTGTGTGCAGCAGAATCATAATGTCTGGGCTTCTTAATGCTGTTTGAAAATAGATCGAACCTTCTGGGTTTCTTTTTATATACTGTTTTCTTTTACTTGACCTTGTGACACTGAATTGTAGAGTCTTTCCTGGCTTGGGGAGAAATTGGTGTGTAGGTTTCTGGTACGTTAACATTTGTAGCAGGGGTGGTAACTGTAAGCTGTTGGCTTCCTCAGTCATTTTCAACTTCCTGTTTTGAGAAAGTGATTTAGTAGTGCTTGAAGTTGTATGAAGTCATACCGGTAATCTTCAATCTTGAAGTTGCTGTGCTGCCAGTCAGTGCTGTTGCATTGCTGTAGAATGCATTAACAGGTACAAATGGGAATGAGTCTCTTCTGGAAAGCTTTCCAGCTGAGGAGGACCTACATCTTTTGGGTCTAACAGTAGTTTGACAAAGAAGATTACTTAGCTGTATGAAGTTATTTGTAGGTGCTTCATGGTCTGCTTTCTGTTCTTTTTTGCTTCCTGCTGTTGCAAAGAGAGGAAGAAGTAGTAGAAATGTCACTCTGATTCTTAGCCTTACCCTTGTTTTGTTTTTTAATCCAAATTAGGCAAAGCAAATAGAATTAAGTCAGTTTCAAATCTTGAGGTTGGCTGTTCTTTGTCACATGGGAAATGAAAATCACTGCTTTATAATAAAGAGAGTTCATAATTGCATGATGTGCAAGAAACTCTCCTGAAAGAGCCATTGTATTGCTGCATCAATGCACATGTGTTTGTCATGAGGAAGTGGAGTTGCATGAAATACATATATTCTAAAGTTTTGTCTTTTCTTGAAATGCAGGGTGTGAAACAAAGGCTGTTTAAAGGAAAAACAGTGGACTAGAAAGAGGTGGGAGAATCTGTGATGTGTGTTTGGTTAGAAAGGGAGGTGGAAAAGTGGGAGCTGTATGAGCCTGGATTGCTTCAGTAAATAAATTACTAGTGAAACAAATGTAACAATTGGAAATTGCAGAAAAGAATGTGTTGGAGCTTAAAATACCAAGTGCCGTTTTGATTACAGTAGTCTTGTAGGTTTTTTGAAGATATCCCTTTTATATGTCTTTCAAAGAGGATACGCACTTTAATTTCTTGCCTGTTATACTGGGTATTATTGTAAACACTTCAAATGCGCGTGGATCTTCTCAAGCACAGCAAGGCATGCCAGCTATCCAGAGAGCTAGGAGTGAGTCTAGCTTGTACAGCACAGAAGTTGGCGTTGTTGCCTTTTACGCTTCTTTGTATTGTGAAAACATACGTTAGGACAGAAAAGAGTACAGGCAAATAAATGCTGAAAAGAGAGTAAATTCGAAATGGTAGAGAGCTAGTAGATGTTAAACATTACTCTTCATTGTATGCAGATAATCGCAGAAAGTACAGTTCTATGTAAACGGTTACACAAACTGCTGTAAAAACTGAACGATTCCTCAGCATTCCAAGGATCTTCAGGGCTATAAATATGTGTCTTAGCTTTTCTTGGGGGCAGAGTGCCTGTGAAGATTGTAAGGTTTTCTACAAAATCAGTTTTAATGACCAGTATGATACTGGCCAGAGCGTAAGCCACATGGGCTATAGTATGTGGCAGTGGCTATTTGCATTGTTACAAACAGCTTCATTTTTGTTTGAAAACCTGGCAGCTAATAAAAATCCTCTCTCCTGCATTCACAAACATAGCGTTCGAATCTCAGTGTTTATGAGGGAAGAGTGTTTCAGAGCATGCTTTATTTAAAGTGATCAGTGTTTTGGGTGAGAGATTCCTGGTGGTTTTATAAGCATGCTTCTTGGGAAGCTTTTTTAAGAAGTCACCATAAGGGTAGTAATTAAAAAAAAAAAATATATATCTTCTACAGCTGTTTATAAAACAAACTGAGTTCAAGTTCTAGAATTAGAGAGGAAGGATCAGCTAATAATCTCGTAATAGAGCTGTGGGAAATAACTTGTGTTGCTAATGTCATTCGCATAAAGGAAACAAGAAATTTTGCTGTCTGTTTTGCATGGAAGCATGGCTGATTAGGCTGTCAAATGTTTTTAAGTTACAGTGTGTGGCATACAACCATATTCACTTGGAGTATGAACTCTGTCATTACTTTCAGAAGAAACACTCATTTAACCATTTCTGCATATGCGTAAGCATTAGTTAGAGCTTGCAGTTCATTGTTGTCTTTTGCTGAAGCACACTTCCAAGTTTGGTTCTAGTCCAAAGATAAGGCTCAACCATCCCTATTTTGAGTGTGTGAATGGCTATGACTTTTCCTTTGATCTGTTTGTTGAGGGAGGAGAAATTTTCAGTGACGTTTCTAGGGCCTTTAAACTGGAATACTTCTTTCTTCAGTCATGGAATGCTGATGTCAAAATAAATGAATGGAGATGCTGACCAGCAAAGGCCTCAACATGTCCTGCAGAACAATATGACCTCATTGTTTCTTTCCAGTCTCCTATATGCATTCTGTCTTGTCCCTTGTTTTTAATGCTTGACTGTATACCCCTTAGGACAGAGATGGTCTCTTTGTTCAGTGTTCAAAGGAGAACGAAACGATCAGGTGCTAGGATACAAATTATAAGTAAAAGTAAAATGTTTATTGTTCAAGGCTACAGAAATAGTAGATGTGTCCCATGCATTTTAGCACTGTTCCTTGGTTATTAAGATGCTTATCGCTTGCTATATTTTTGTGTCTAGGAAAACAACAGTTGTATATCTCTTAGTGCTTTATTTCCTTCTTTCAGGTGAATGTTACTTAAATCTGAAAAGATAAATCCTGATTTGTATGTTTAGGTTACATAGTGGAATTGTCCATATATGCAACGTGTCTGAAAAGTGAAAATGTTTTTTCTTCTGTTACATGCCTGATCTTATGCTCATTTTGTCTGTTGTCTTAGACTTTTTTTTTTCTCTCCTTTTCAGGCTATATATGTCCCCAAAGAAGAAACTGACTCCAGTGCAAAAATGTGTCAGTCCATTAGTTTGGTGCAGGCAGGTATTGGATTACCCAAGTCCTGACATTGAATCTGCTAAAAAGTCGCTGATCCACAGGCTGGAACAGACAATGTTGGGTGAGTTACTGCATATTAACACCACTGGGTTGTATATAATTATTCTGAAACAGAGTCAGAATTAGCTGATAGATAGTTGTGAGAGAAGAGAGTGAGATCCAGCAGTTACTTCCTACTAAAGTTTTCATTATGATTTGTAAACAGTAATTCATTCTACTAATTTTCTGGACTGTATGAATAAAATAAAGGAAGGATGAGGCCATGAGTCATGATTGCATAGTTACAATTTGGTCAGAAGTTTTTGGGAACAAACAATGTCTTTAACTTTGAGGTTTTCTTGTCGTATTTTAAAATAAAGCCTGTGTTAAACTATCATAATTGTTAGGTGCTTGTCAGTCATGCTTGCAAGAACACTGCAATTCATCTGTAGTATTAATAGGGGAAAATACTAGTGGTAGAAGAGATGGGCACTGATACTGCTGGGTGGAGCATATTGCAAGGAAAAAATAATTTGTAACAAAAAAGAAAATTGTCCTTCAGAGCAACCAGCATACTTAGAGATCTAGAGTAGCAGGAAGCTCCACTGGAGAAGGCAAGTAGTGCTGCTTGGAACCTTGTGTCTGTTTCCTAGCCCACAACTTCTAGATTATCTTGTGACTTGTATTTTACATAGTACTTGTACCTCATGGACGCATCACTTAACCTATTACTAATTACGGGTTCAATTTATCAATTTCAGTTCCAGTCTCTGTAGATAAACCTTTTTACACTACTGTTACATCAAGAAGGATTCAGAAGAGAAACTTTCTTTTGCCTTGACTATTTTCTCTTTGTCAGTTCCTGTTATGTCTTTCTAATCTAATATCTTTTTGTGGTTTTTCAGTCTGAGATGCAGTCTTGTATTCCACATTTTCCTCTTCCTTCTTATAAAGTAATCTTTTCCATTGTGTGATAATAAGGGGGGAAGAGCAGCTTTCAGCTCCATGCTACTGTGGGCAGTTACTGAGAACGCAGGATGCACAGTGCCTTGTTGCTACTGAGTTCAGGTTTACAATTGCAGAGCAATGCAGTGTAATGAGTACAAAATATAGAACTGTTATGCAGACTTACATTTTGGGGTTTTCTTGCTGTCATTTTCGGCAAGAGGTGAAAAGGAAATTTTCTTGGCATGAGAAGTTGGAATAGATGCTTTGGGGTTCCTGTGTGAATGCCAGCAGAACTTGCTGTCAAAGGATTTGTCTCATCAGTGTCAATCAGAATACAACTGGCCTGTAATTACTGGGTTTGTTGACTGAACTTTGTAATAAAATGTCCCTTCTGACACTCTCAAAATGAACTGGGGGTACCTCAAGAATACTAGCTAGAATGTATTGAATTCATTAATTGCTGAAATTAGCGCATATCATTTAAGACTTGCAGTAAAAGTTGGAATATAAACTTTCCATCCTCTATCTATGACTGTATTTTCGCTCTAATTAAAACACTAGTAATATTAACTAGTTTAGAGTCCAGAAAGGATCTTTATATGACGTGCAATTTAAGGAATCTGCTACGAAGTCAACTTTAGTTTCTGCTGCTTCTGCCTCTGTGCTACATTCTGCCATCCATTTGGTTGGATGATACTTTTGGGGGGGGGACGCTACTAAAAACTCATTCACTGATCCTATCCGTTAAAATACTGGCAGAAGCTGGTGAGCTGGTGGAAGCGCTCACCAAGCCACTTCCCATCATTTATCAGCAGTCCTGGCTAACCGGAGAGGTCCCAGTGGATTGGAGGTTAGCAAATGTGATGCCCATCTACAAGAAGGGCCGGAAGGAGGATCTGGGGAACTACAGGCCTGGGAAGGCTATGGAATATAACATCCTGAGAGTGCCATTACGTGGCACATGCAAGATAACCAGGTGATCAGGCGCAGTCAGCATGAGTTCTGCTTGATAAACCTGATCTCCTTCTATGACAAGGTGACCCACTTAGTGCATGAGGGAAAGGCTGTGGATGTTGTTTACCTGGACTTTAGTAAAGCCTTTGACGCTGTTTCCCACAGCATTCTCCTGGAGAAACTGGCTGCTCGTGGCTTGGATGGGTTTACTCTTCACTGGATAAAAAACTGGCTGGGATGCCAGGCCCAGAGAGTGGTGGTGAATGGAGTTGAATCCAGTTGGTGGCCAGTCACAAGTGGTGTTCCCCAGGACTCAGTATTGGGGCCTGTTCAGTTTAATATCTTTATCAACGACTGGACAAGGGGATTGAGTGTACCCTCAGTAATTTTGCAGATGACACCAAGTTGTGTGGGAGTGTTGACCTGCTGGAGGGCAGGATGGCTCTACAGAGGGATCTGGACAGGCTGGACCGATGGGCTGAGGCCAATGGTATGAGGTTCAACACGGCCAAGTGCCGGGTCCTGCACTTGGGTCACAACAACCCCATGCAGCGCTACAGGCTTGGGGAAGAGTGGCTGGAAAGCTGCCCGGCAGAAAAGGACCTGGGGGTGTTGGTGGACAGCCAGCTGAATATGAGCCAGCGATATGCCAAGGTGGCCAACAGCATCCTGGCCTGCATCAGGAATAGTGTGGCCAGCAGGACTAGGGAAGTGATCGCTCCCCTGTACTTGGGCACTGGTGAGGCTCTACCTTGAGTACTGTGTCCAGTTTTGGGCCCCTCGCTACAAGAAAGACATTGAGGTGCTGGAGCATGTCCAGAGAAGGGCAACAAAGCTGGTGAGGGGTCTGGAGGACAAGTCTGATGAGGAGCGGCTGGGGGAACTGGGGCTGTTTTGCCTGGAGAAAAGGAAGCTGAGGGGAGACCTCATTGGTTTCTACAACTCCCTGAAAGGAGGGTGTAGTGAGGTGGGGGTTGGTCTCTTTTCCCAAGTAATAGGTGATAGAGGAAGAGGAAATGGCCTCAAGTTGCACGAGGGGAGGTTTAGATTGGATATTAGGAAAAATTTCTGCATTGAAAGGGTTATCAAGCATTGGAACTGGCTGCCCAGGGAAGTGGTTGAATCACCCAGGGAAGTACTGGAATTGCAATCCCCGGAGGTATTTAAAAGATGTGTAGATGTAGTGCTTAGGTACATGGTTTAGTGGTGGTTTTGGCAGTGTTAGGCTGATGGTCAGACTCGATCTTACAGGTCCCTTCCAACCTAGACAATTCTATGATTCTATACTCTAGATGTTGTTAGCCTAAATTGACTTTAGTAGGCTGGGTAATAGTGCAACCTCCACCATTGCTTGTACTGAACAACTAGTGACCAAGAACAAAGGCCGGTGGGAGGATGAGCTGAAGCAGGCTTTGCTGCTAAAAACAGCTTTTCATGCAACTGTGGTCTCTTTTGGCTTCTTGCAATGTCAAAACAAAAAAAAAAATCTTACATGGAAAAAAGGATTTTTAGTAAACAAATTAGAGTTCAATTACTTTTTTTTTTGTCTGCTACTATCAGTAACCTAGTTACTGCACTAATTGAAGTACTATTCTTTGAATAGCTTAATTTCTGCTTTTTTTTTTTTTAGAACCACTTGAGTGTATTGCCATGCGTTTGGCAGGCCTGTTCTTGTCAGTTGATAATATATATGCATACCTTAACGAGAGTATAGTTTCTAGCAGCTAGGTGAGCGGCAGCTTAATCTAATCTAGATTTACATATCATAAATTTTGGATCTCTAGCTTTCAGCTTAATGTTTTGCAATTTAATTTGTTCTTTGTTAAGATACAATTCTGTTTGGCATAAAATACTTTCAGCAACGAAGGAACTGACTTTACCTAAAGTGACTGAATTTCCTTTGGTTCCCACTTCCCTATTGAAGTTCCATTTTCTATTATATTAAAATAAAATGTAAATTTTTGAACAAAACAGTCATTTAAGTAACTACACAAATCATACACCTGGCAACTAGGGGAATTGCAGTATCATACTGAAATGTTTGCCAGTGGTTAAGATCAATCTGAAAATACTTTAGCATTGAAATATTTATAATAAATAGCAGAGGAAAGTGCCCAATTTTGGATCTTATATTGTACATGGAGTTGAAGCCCATGGACATAAAGATCACAAAGCATTAGAACTGGAGGTATACAGAAGGGAATAATCCTACAGTCAATTTGCTTTATTGTGCCCAGTAGGTTCATGGTACCCAGAAATATAAATGGAAGCATTTGCCGTATCTAATGGTTTTTCATTTTAGCATGTGCTTTGGGGGATTTTGTAGGTGGTATTGCTTACTTCTGTGGTACTGGTCTTGGGGTTACCGTTGAAATATTGTGTTATCTATACAGGCCTGTGAATTCTGGAGAGCTAGACTTCGTGATGTGCTCTGGTTTGTACATAATTGTGCATGGGATGTATGTTAGCGTAGCTTAGCTACTACTGTCTTTTGAGTTGCTTCCCTCCTCCTTCCCAATGCATACGTTGAGCATCTTGAAAAGATCAGTTGTAGTGATTTTAAATCTGATTTTTACAAGGAAAATATTTATAGCTATCTTGTCTTGCCCTCTTCTCCCACTCCTTCCATGGTATGGTTGTACCTAGGAGATGGAGCAATCAGTTGAAAAACATCCCGATGACTGAAATGTTCTACTTGAACTGTATAGTAATTAAATCACACTGAAGAGATCATATAGTATTGTATTAATTTTTCATTGGTTCCTTCAGTATAATTTGTCACTTTCCTCCTCTTCATGCAGCTCTCAAGAGACAGAGTTTGTACAGCAGCCCTTTCAGTGCGGTCAGTTATGCGAGCTCCTATAGTCCAAATACTAGTAGTCCCTACAGCAGTGGTTTCAACTCTCCCTCCTCAACACCAGTGAAATCTGCTTTAGTAAAACAGCTCATACCTCCTGGTACCTCAGGTAAGTGTGTGCGCGCATGTCTGGTCTCTCCCTTCTTCCTCCTCTTCCTTTCAAAAACATGTGCTCAAATAGATTACATTTGGATTGAACTAGAGTAAGAAAGACACCAAAAACTTGTTAGTCTTTTGTAGGATATTTGCATCGTGCAGTATTTAAGCTTTTTAGGAAAGGCTTTTTTACAGACTTTCTGGCATGAGATACATCTAAAATGTTTTCTCTGGATGTCCATGTCCCTAAAATCACTGATGCATATTAGCAGTTAGACTGAAACATGTAGCATTAGTTCTGTGGAGTCCCAACACACCTAAATGGCTTCTGGAATTGGTGCTGTAATTGAGGGGGATGTAAGTTGCATGGTAGGTGTTTAAATGTTAGGTGTAGGTAGTTGTAAAGTCTTTGGAACTACCCTGCTACTTATTAACTGAAACATTTGGCATGCAATGTATCCATCACTACTTCTGAGATGTGAACAATATAATCTACGGAAAAAGCATGTATTTTAATTAAAGGCATTCCATGAGGCTTTGCAGTCATCAGTGTAAACACTAACTTCTGGCAATGTTTTCTATTTTATTCTGCACCATAGGTGCTTTCTTTGCATCAGAAAAATTAATCCCTGGGATATATCTCTATTCTGAAATCAGAATGTTGGCTCATTATATATACTTTAACTCAAGTTAGCTTGCAGGGAAGATGAAAACCACTGCATTGACAATCCAACTGTCTGTAGTTCTCTGTGGACTTGTAAAGAGAATTCTGTGCTGCAGTATATTCACCAGAGCCATTACCCAGGTTTTGTTTTAATCTACGTAGTTCTGCATTGTGTGCTACAATGCTGTATCTGCCTGCAGGACAGAGAGATTAAATGTAAACTGGGAATGGGGTGTCAGCCAGAAGGCAGCAAATGGGAAGAGTTTTTCTGGTCTGTTACAGTTTAGCAAAGGTGTATACGTAGACCAGGTAGTATTTTCAGATAAAGTGTTCTAAGCATTCCAAGCTGAATCAATATTCATTGGATCAGCAAGTCCTTATTGTCGAGAAAGCTATAGTCAAACTTATGTCTTATAAGGTGAAAAGATGAGAATGAAAGCACAAATGGAACAGATAGGCAGTTGCTCTTTCTGTAAGAGCTGTGCAAACTTCATAGCAGTTGAAACTTGGTACAAGTAGACCAGATGATATGTCATTAATTTGTTTTGCCACCATTATAATAACTTATAAAGTTGCTCATTTTCAGAAGGTAATGGCTAAGCTCCGCTTGTGTAAATTATATTTTTAGCCTAGGTTTGCAACCAAATGTTTCAAATGGTCTGTCAGACTCAATGTCTGTCATAATCTGTTTTCAGATTGGTGGTCCTTTCACTAGGAAAGGAAATAGAGCTTGCCTTTTTTGCCTTTTCTTTTTAACATTTCTTATTACTTTATTTTCTTTCTGTAGGTCATCTTAAAAGTTCAGCAGATAGAAATCCTCCACTAAGTCCACAGTCCTCTCTGGACAGTGAATTAAGTGCATCAGAGATGGATGAAGACTCTATTGGGTCTAATTACAAGCTAAATGATGTTACCGATGTGCAGATTTTAGCGCGAATTCAGGAAGAAAGTAAGTATTTTCCATCCTTGAAATGAAGTGGAGCAGTTGATCTTTTTTTATTGAACAGCTGCAGTAGGACTTGCTTAGCAGTAATGGAAAACCAGTGTAAATTCTACTATGGATGTACAAATGTAGTTCTCCTGAGAAGGCTGACTAAGGACTTCTGCCTCCAGGATAAGGAAAGGAAGTTGCTGTGCAGAAGTGTTTTTTAGGAACAATGGACAAAAATGCTAAAGAGGGTATAAATTTGTAGCATGTAGCATATGCTAAACGGATGGTTGTTAGACTTGACTACAGCCTGCCACCAATCTTCTCAGGAGATGCGTGCCTTCCCAATGTAATCCCGTCTTGTTGACATCGGTGCTTAAACCATGATTTAAATCACCAAAAATGTAAAGTTAATATGGCAAAGAATAATTAAGAAAAGCACCTATGTAGATGTCTCCCTTAGATTATAGGTTTATTTGAGACTTTGTCTTTTTGTCCCTCTGAGAGTGCAGAAAGTGGTAGTAATTTCAGTTGTCTAAGTAGGTGGTCTCCAGACTTTTTTGTTGTGTACCCCTATCAGCGGAAAAAAAACCCAAATCCCCAATATGTGTTTTTTTATAAATTATATGCATGTAGTAGTCTACTAATATATTACGTACACAAAAATACACAAATGTACGTAAAAAAAAATTTAAAGGATAAGATAAAGATGAAATAAATGCTATTTTTTAAATATTATTTCATTAGTAGTACAAAATTCTCTTCCTGCACCTCAGTGGATTTTTCTGTGTACCCCCTGGGGTGCGCGCAGGCTGCTTTTGAGACCACTGGTCTAACAACTCCAGTTAAGGAGTATCTTAGGGTTAAGTTAAGGAGTTAGTTAAGGAGTATCTAAGGGTATCTTATAATCTAGCTTTTTTGTTACATTTACTAATACATTGCAAGAGACGCTTCATTGTGGCTGCTATAATTGTTACGTTATATCAAAATTAAGGTGTAGCCTGTGTTGCTAGTATCCAGCCTGGGAGAGGAGGTGAACAAGTACACAACACACCTATACTGATGGTTGCTGTAGTTGGAAAAGAGATGAGCTCACCTACTTACGTCAAGACATTGTCAGCTGGTAGATAACTTTTTTTGGTACTAATCTGGAATTAATTTAATGCCTCAAAGAAAAGGAGTTAAGGTGAGCCAAATTTGAGTTTGAGCACTGGACAGATATTTGTATGCACTGTCTCCAGTTTGAACCGTTTGTGGGCTGGAAGCAAGTAAACAATGTTTGCACTGTTGCCAGGCCTCCGGCAAGAGTACGCAGCAACTGCTTCTCGGCGTAGTTCTGGTTCTTCTTGCAATTCTACAAGGCGAGGCACGTTCAGCGATCAGGAGCTCGATGCACAGAGTTTAGAAGATGAAGAAGATGGCACACATCACACAGTGCACCCTGCTGTTAACAGGTTTTCGCCATCACCTCGCAGTTCTCCCTGGCCTTCACCAAAACAATCTCCAAGGAATTCACCTCGCTCACGATCACCTGCTCGAAGCATAGAATACAGTAGAGTGTCACCCCAGCCTATGATTAGCCGTTTACAGCAACCTCGTCTTTCGCTTCAAGGCCATCCTACAGATTTGCAGACTAGTAATGTCAAAAGTGAAGGTAAAAAGCTCTGTCTCAAATTCATTATACAAGTACTGGTGTAGTTCCTGTAAAGGATTTTGGTCAGTGTGCAGTGCTAAAACTATATGCCTGTGTAACATCGTACTTTAATCTCAGAGCTGCTGAAGAAAAAGCAGAGCAAGCAAAGCTTGAGTTCTGCTGGGGAACTCTTATAGTCAGATAGATGAGTTGATAGGCTTATATTTATTTTAGATGTTATCCAGTCACTCGGGGTGTAATTGAGTTTCGTGGTGACCGAGTTCTCTCTTTGGCAGGCGAATGCACTAAAATAAAGCAGAGCCCAAGGGAAACTATCATTCACCAGTCGGGTTAGGCCTTGCAGATGACAAAATAAAACACAGGGAAAGTAACTGTGGTCAGATAAGAGTAACATGGCAATTTATGCATGCTTGTAGCCTGTGAGATAGCTGAATGCTTGCTTCTGGCAGTGCAGGACTCTGAAATCTTTGAGCATCTGGAATAAACTCCTTTAATCAGGCTGAAATTTCACAAGCAAGTTCCCATTTTAACAAATGTTGTTATCTGGCAAATAAGATCTTAAGTTCACAAAGAAAATACATTTAGATATTAAGAATTATACATTTAGATATTAAGAATTCACCATATTTTTTCATCTTTCAGGTAAGCTGGATGCAAAATCTACACAGTAGAGATGATGTAGAAATGCTTTTTTAAACAGTTTATTTTCTGGAGTGGTTTTGTTGGTTTGTTCCACCTTCCCCCCTCCCCCCCCCAATATGGCAAAGTGGTCTGTGCCACTTACAGAATTTCATTGACTAAGAAATTTTTGAATTTTAATCAGGAAAAACAGTGCTAGACTAGAGCTTTTTGGGAAGATGATCCTGCAAATTTAATTAGCTATTCAAGAATACCTTCAGAAGAGTTAGCTTAAGTCTTATCTAGTAATAGTGGTTTGGGGAAATTTTAGGTATATAGGAAAATGTACAACGCAAAAGCTGATCAGCTGTGACTTAGTTGAGAATTCCTTTGCCGTTCTTTTCTGGGGTTTTATGAAAGTCTTAATGCATGCTAGATGAGCTACAACAAAAATATCCCATGAGAGGCAAGGTGGCAAAAGCTGGTATCCCACATACCAGAGGGATCAAAATAGAGCGTGCGATCATGTGTTTCTGAAACACTTCCAAGGAATTCTCTTGCAGTGGTTTTTGTGCAGTTGAAGGTTGCTTGGATATTCAGAGTTGATACAGCAGCAGCCAAAAAAACTTGTTTGAGATTTTTTTTTTTTTCTCTATAATGGTTAGAGAGAAATTTGGTTGACAGAGTTCCACAATGTACCAACTGCAGTGCAAAGCAGTGCAAACTACTAAGTGCAGGAAGTACACTTGTAGGAATATTCAGCCTATAAAGACTCTTACTTTTGTTTTCATCTTTAGTGCTTGTGCATGGTTAGCATACTTCTTTCCTGCATCCCTCTACAGAATCAGGTTGGGCACTCATCCTGACGAGGCATCTGCAGTCTTCTATCCAAAGTATGTCATCAACCCAGCTCTGCGTGGGTTGGAGATACACAGAATGTCATTAGACTTGAGAAGTATTTAATGGCATCTTTTTGTGTTCTGTGAGTAATGGTACAAATTTTAGAGGACCGTTGAAGAACCAGTATTAGCTGAATAGATTGTCAAGTTGCATGTGAAAGGTGAAGCATAACTGGACACAATAATTTTGAATGTTGTGTATCAAGAGTTTCTTTCCAAGTGGGTGGCTGTTACTTGTTGTATAATGTGCTGATATGGGACTAGGTAGTCCCAAAAACTAACTCAAATAATTACTATGTGGTTTTAATCTTCACGCAAGCATTGTATTGTAAACAACTTTCTAGGTAAAGATTCCAAAAACTGTACAAAACTGGAAATTAGGTTTGCCTATTCAATTTCCGTAACAGTAGAACAAAACCTAGAGAATCATAATCCAGGTATGTTTCAATTTCAAAACACACTATGCTTGACATTTTTCACCACAGGTGAAAAATGTACATTCATGCGTTTTTATATAAATACTTCGTATGTGATAGATCTGCAAATAATGTAGAGCTTTAATTCAAGAAAATGGAAGAACTGTAATGTAACAAAATATGCTTTTAAATTGCAATATAGTTTTATATGGCTAACGTTTTGTGTCCCTTAGATTTGAGGTTCAACTATGGGTTCATAACCTGAACTTTGTCCAGCATCTTCCTACATGTTTTGGTATCTTTGTGTTATTTGTACAGAAAAACTAAGGCGTAGTCTTCCAAACCTGTCCAGGACATCTAACATCCAAGCTGAGTCTGTGAAAAACAGCAGAAGTGACTCAAACTTCCAAGTGCCAAATGGAGGAATACCTCGCATTCAACCTCAAGCCTCAGCCAGTAAGTACCTTAAGTGACACTTCATTGTATATTTTGAAATTAAGTGATAGTACTCAGCTCTCTTCCAGTTTCATGGCAAAGAGAAACATTCCATGCCACACTAGAGATGCTAATCTTGATTTTTTTAATCATACCTGTGCGAGTCTGCTTTTTGGTACACAAAATCTGGTACTGATTATATTCAAAGAATGTCTGATCTCTTACTAAGGTCTCATTCATAGTTTCCTGAAAGTATATGTAGAAGTACTGTAAAGACTATAAATACAGTGGTTAGACATTTCAGAAACCATTTATTTTGTGTGATTTACAGAAGGTATAATGCTCTGTACAGTTGAATCTTTATTTTTAGACTACAACAACTTACTGGGCTATGAGAAATAGGCGATGTTTATTGTTTGGTTTTTTTTTTTTTAAACTAGTGAAACCTGATCTGAAAACATTCATGCAAGCTTTACCCTTTTTTGCAGTTTATTTTCTTCTTTTGTTATGTCACCTGGAAATCAGATATTCAGTGGTGGGTTTTATTTAAGTGTCATTTACTTTTTAAAAAAGGTTTGGATAAACCTGTGTCCGCTGAAACAAAAAGAGCCCGTTGCTGGGCTGGTGGCTGCTAGTTTGTCCGAAAGTGAACTGCTGATATGAGAATGCTGCTAATTTCACAAGTCTCTTGAAAATAGTGACCTTAAAGAAACCAAAGCAAATGAAACTTAAATATTCAGTGCTTCTTTATGTGTCAATATTGACAGTTCCTGTCATTTAAATGTTTCCTGACCCTTTTATTTTAAAACAAGTTTCAAAATTTAATAACCTTCTGTGACATTTTCAAGGGAAGAGCACATTATGAATATTATGTGTAGAGCTTTGAACTATAAAAGTTCTCTGATAAAAGTTCATCAGTAATCTAAATATTTGGTGGGAAGTACAAGATAAAATTTGTGAATGAAACTAATTTATTTTTTTTTTTACCCATTGAACAGTAAAGGCATACTGGCATACCTAGTTGGCCTTGTTAACTGGTCCTTTCAAAACAATGTGTTAATGCACTCTAATACAGTTAAATACAGAATAAGGAATTCAGATCATGCCAATGACTACAAGATTTCTATCTTCGTAGCGACTCAGACCAGATGGTAAGGGTTGTGTACAGACAGTCCCAGATGTGTGATAGTGTAGCCAGAGAAGTTAATGTGACCTTGTGATTGTTCGTATAAGTTACCCTTCATCTTGCCTCCTTCTTCCACTGTTCACAAACACTCAGAAGGTGGGATTTACAACTGAAAGGGCATGTGTGTAGTTCAAATGCAGGACTGTTATCTGTTAGGCAGGCTTATCAGATTGTAAAGCACTCGGAGCAGTTGTACAGCAGCTCTCCAACTGCATTATTTTTGTGTTAGGAAGAATAATCAAAATGACCTGAAAGAAAATGAAGGAAAAAAATATTTTTAGTAAAAATATGTACAGATTTTATTTGGTGTTTTTAAAATTGAGTGAACTGGGAAGGGAAGAGCACAGAGGTCAGCTTAGTTGATTAGAAAGCTATTTCCAGTATTAAAAGTATATTCAGAGTGAAGCTTCATGGAAAGATCAGACAGTAGAAGTCTCAATATTCAGTATTTAGTGGGTTATTTCATTGCAGGAGCCAAAGTAGTGTGACGTGTGTTTATTAATTTTTTTCAACTTGTGGATGCATTGAGAATCACAGAAATTATTAGGTAAATTTGCTTGCCTTTCGTGGGAATCTTTCCCCAAATGTGAACCACTCTAGACCAACTTACATTTAAATGTAAGTTAAGTATCATTGATAAAGCCCAGATTTCTAGCTTTTACAGTTTCCCTGCTCTTACAGATGTTTGTCAGAGTCTTGCTATTGACAATCGTAAAACGGTTTGTGTATGAAGTCAATGAGTAAGTATCTTCGCTTAGTCTGAATTAAAAAATTTTCTGCAAAACTGTACATTGTATAAAAATTTCCAGAATTGTGTCCTTTTTATTGTATAGTTTTTGTTTTATCGGTTTTATATTTTGTCGCCTTGCACAAAGCGCTGTTAAATTGCAGCAAATTTTTATTTTCCCTTGGCAATGACTTCTGGGTCTTGGGATTCAAAGCTTCCTCATATACCTGCTAGTTTTGCATGAGCTTACCTTTGCAAGGATGCTGGCTTGCCACCCGAGGTCACTACTTTTCTCCTTGTCAAAGAGCTGCTGTTCATGATTTACTTGCATATTTGCTGTGGCTGCAATACTGAACTTGCTATGGTTGCTGGCATTCAAAAATGAGTTAGGAATCCAGTAAGTTTCTGAAAAGACAAATAGGCAAATTGTACATGCTTGCTTAAAGAGTAGAGGAAAGACACCTATAATACGTTTAGAGGTACAATTATAAAACATGGAAACATTTGGCATTTTAAGTTTTAGCTGTAATGTGGTGAAAAATCTGAATTCTTTTTGAAAAGAGATTGAGTGAATCAGATAGTTGTAACTATTGGAATCTTCATTTACATCTGATTCTCCATGCTGTTATGCAGAAAGTACTTTTTTTTTATATGAAAGCTATTAAATATTTCACCTTAAATCACTGGAACATACCTATTCCTTGGAGAACACAAGTATTACTGTATCTTTTAAAAGGCTTCAAGTGTTAGAGTGACAGGAATATTCTGTATTTGGGTCATACACCACATAGATTGTACAAAGCTGTAGAACTTCTAGGGTGGTTTCCACGTAGGAGCTATGTGCTTTCTCGTGGATTGTGTGTGATACTTTTGTACTTACCTGGCACTATTAGCACATGGATGTTAAATCTTTAAGCAGAATTAAATATAATACTTTTTCAAAGAGCTAAGCTGTAGGTTGTTCAAACTATCAGTAAAGTAACTAGTCTGCTTGCCAAGATCCAGCTCCTTGGCATGTTCAGAGTAAAAGAAGGTGTGTTTTGAGGAAACTGAGTATTCCAGTTCAGTTGATCAGAAGTAAACATAACTGTGTATTCAGCTTGCACCATTTGTGACAGGTAATGGAATAGCATACGGAGCACTTCAAGAGCAGCAAATAGTGTGGATAAGCATGCACCCCACGCTTATCTCAAACTGCGTGTTTCCTCAGCGTTGCTCAAATTGCACTGCCTGAAGTTCTTTTCAGTGATTCAGTGCACAGAATTGTTTAGCTATTGAGTCCCTGTTTCCTGGAGTCTTCATTGAGAAGGAAGGAATTTGAGATATATATATTTTAAATCCTTTCCATATCATCCCATATCTCTGACTTGGTGGGGGAAGAAACTTAGTGCTATGTGCAGTAGCATATTTAAATCTAACTGAATTAATTAGGGCAAACTAAATTCAAGATCATACATATGACAGAAGAAGCTGTTCTTCATTTTGTGCGGTATAACAAAAACACTGATTCAGTAAAAAAATGGTATAATGGAATACTTGCGGACAGAAACACTCTGGGCAGTGGTCTGCCTCACTAAATTCCTAGGAATTGTACTCATTTTTAAACATCTTACTGTGCTTAATTGACTGTTTTGAATATGCTTTTAAAAAAGTTTATAGCAAGACCATGTGCCAGAAGTTGAGTAAGAGTTGTATACTGCCACATGCTTTTTTGCATTAGTTTCTAGTTGGTAGAAGGAATATTTTATTTTTTTTATTCTTAATAGCCAAAGGCAGCATTTTATCCTTTTTAATTCCTTTTTGCTGTTTGAAGATAACAGGTTTTAGTTAGTTAAGACTAAAATGAAGAGACCAACTGGTCATATTTTCAGAATGAAGGTAAAACACATGATGAACTTCTTTTGTAGTTCACAAAATGCTGTGAATTTTGCACTGACTGAAGGATAGGAAAGATGATGGCAATTACTATATGCCGTCAAGTTTAGAAAAGGATTACCTAATATTACTAGGATTCTAATTGTTCTTGGCCTACCTTCTTTATAGCGATATTCACCAATTCGTGATAGGATTACTGAGCTTCCTTACTCGGGGTCAGGATCTTTAATGCACAGCTGTTCCCCTGTCTTTCTTCCTTCTCACTATGGAAATAAGCTTTGCTAGTGCAATCAGTTTTACGCTGGTTCATACACTGAGGTGAGCAGAGATGTTTATTCATACACTATCATTTTAAGAAGCCTTTGTCTAGGCAAATCTTTATTTCATTGACTACATTTCTCCTTCCCCCCCTTAAATATCCTGCGGTGAAAATACGCTGAGTTGATGCGTTCCTTCTGGCAATAGGCAATTCTCTCCTTGCCAAGATTCTGAAGCTCTTGGAACATTGGCTTCTCTCTTGGTAACTGGTAGGTAGTGAGGTCATTTCAAGGCAGTATCAGCCCTTGAATATTACTAGAAAAAAGGCAAGATGTAGGAGCAAAGGCACAGTAAAAAACAATTTCTGTCATGCTGTCTACATGCTGGCAGCTGATAATTCTTAGTGTGTTATGTCTTCATTTTAAGTTTGAGTCCTCTCGCATACCCTTTTGAAGAGAAAAAACAGACATCTCTCAAAATCGCTTATGTTTGCGTTAGTGAAAAATACAATTTATGTGATGATCACAGACAAAGATTTGCGCTGTTGTATAGTGTTGAATATTTTTTGAAAACCTTAAAATGAAAAGTTTAGTCTTGCTATGTCAAATATGACAGTTTAATTTTCATCTTTATATCTAATCTTGCACTCATGTTGCTGTAGCATGTTTGCTAGGTGGCTTGTTCTCCCTTTGGTGTATTCATTTTATTTTTTTTGCCCTTCTAGGCTTTTTGCCCTGCAAGAAGCTTTACTCTTACAGAATCTGCGCATTTTGCACTGCAAAATTTCTGACACGCTCCTCTGTAACTCTTTGCCATTAAGAGCAAGCACCATTTTAAAAAAACCCACCACTTCCAGAGTCATAACAGCTTTTTGAGTGTTTTACTCACTCTGTTCCTTGATGCTTCACAAGTGGATGCAATTCTGAAAATCCCAATAAATTTAGTTTTCTTACCTTCTTAGACAAATATAACACTTCTTGTCTTTCAACAGCTCTGCAAAGGCAGAAAAATTTGCCTCGTGCTGCCTTCAAAACCAAACAGTTTCTTCAATCTCCATCTACAAAAGGAGGTAATTAACTTACAACCTCTTACCAAGCTCCAGCCAATCTCAGATAATTGTTCACCTGCATTAAATCTCACATATTCTAGATTAATAAAATTTCTGTTGCATGTTGAGATTAACCAAGTGGTCCTTGCTGTGTGAAAGTTAACTTTTTGGTCCAAATGTTAAAAATGCAACCTTGCATTATTTAGGAGAAAAAGTATTATAATGAATTTTGAGGTAAAATCCAAGGATTGGTGACTTCTAGCATTAATCAGGAAATCTGGATTATAAGAGTAGACTCTTGAATCCATATTCTTTAGGGCTACGTTGGATAGGAAATTTTTAAATTGTAAATACAAGTTTTAAAACAAAGGTTATATAACTTGTTCTCTTTTTTTGACTGTGCAAAAATATATGCAGGCAAGTGAAAATATCATCCTTTGTGCTGGAAATAAAAGGTAACAAGTTTATCCTTGAAAAGATAAGCGTAGAGTGTCAGCTTGTTTTTTGCATACATGCACACATGCTTGTGCTTTCTTTTTGCCTCTCAAAACTGGAAGATTAACCCCAACATACAGTAATTTAGATCTGTTTTTTTTTTTTTTCCTCGAGGAACTAGAGACTATTGTATATAACATTCCAGTTTGCTAACGGCTGAAATTGCCTTCTTTTCGAGAAGAAAATGAAATACATTGAGTCTCTAATCCAATTAGACAAGTTGTAACTGATTTTTTAATTCTGCCAGCCTCGTATGTGACACTGCCTCAATTTCACTACTAAGATTGAAAAAGTTCATCATTTTGGTTTTAAACATAGTTGCTCCTGTTGCCTATCACAATCTAGACGATCTTACTTCAAAGATCATATTTCACTTGAGACCAATTAATAAGCTCTATATATGCTAGAATCCTTTAAGGATTATAGGAGTCCTTCATGCAGATTCTGAGGGTGGCTGACAGAAGGCATGTGTTTCTCTCAGTGGTTCAACAATACGAACTTCTTTGAGTCAACTTCATTCCATGCAGAAAGTTTTAGCAAAATATCATGACTTTGAAACAGATTCACATGGCTTAATAGGAGGTTTCTAACATTCCTCATAGTATTTCATACCAAATAGAGAAAAGTTCTCTCAATGTCCTGCTTTGGCATAAGACCACCTTCTCGATTCCTCTGCAAAGCTTTCCACGCTGTCTTTCCAGTTGGCCATGCCTTTGCCTTCGTCTGGATGTCTGGAACGCTTATTAGGTCAATGGCCTAGTGTGGAGCTGTATAAATGTACAGAAAATAAACTTTTCTTTGAGTTTATATTGTTTCTGAAATGTTACTAAACCTTAGAGAATGAGGAACCAAGCATATTGCACTGCCAGTTATGTATTCCAGTTTATAGGTGCTGTCATTCCTCACTGCAAATCAGGAACCAACATGTTCTTTTCAGTTACTTGCTATTTGATAGTCTTTGATGTGTTGATTTTTCTTGCTTCTGATCTGAGATTCTCAAGAGTACAGAAGCATTATGCAGTAATGAAACAAGACTTGTTTCAAAAGAGTAAACAACTATGAGCAACAATTTGTTTTAGTTTCTTAAAATACTGTTCATTGCATAGCTTGACACCTTTCACATGCAGACATTGGCTTTTTTTTTTTACCGTTTTGTGTAAAACCGTTCAAAATACATTCAAATAACAAACTCTTTACTGCACTGTAACAGGTTTGTTAAGCCTTATACAGCAATCCAGTATCAGTCAGATCATAAAATCGTAGGATGGTTTGGGTCATCTAGTCCACCCCCTACCCCCCCGCAATGAGCAGGGACATATTCAACTAGATCAGGTTGCTCAGAGCCCCAGCATGACCTTGAATGTCTCCAGGGATGATGCATCTACCACCTCTCTGGGCAACCTGTGCCAGTGTTTCACCACTCTCATCATAAATGTCTTCCTTATATCTAGTCTGAATCTCCCCTTGTTCAGTTTAAAACAGTTACCCGTTGTCCCATCACTACACTCCCTGATAAAGAGTCCCTCCCATCTTTCCTGTAGCCCCTTTAGGTATGGGAGGGCTGCTATAAGGTCTTCCCAGAGCCTTCTCTTCTCCAGAAGAGAACAACCCCAACTCTCAGCCTGTCCTCATAGGAGAGGTGCTCCAGCCCTCTGATCACCTGCCTGCCCTCCTCTGGACCTGCTCCAACAGGTCCATGTCTTTCCTGTACTGAGATGACAGAACAGTTTATCAATTCCCATCATTTTACCTCTTCTGTTCTTTCATATCGTTCTGAATCATCTCATCGTGACAGTTATGATTTAGTAACTGCATTAGAATTGATTCTGGTTTCAGGTCGACATGCAGCAGCTGCCCTTGGGGTGCGAGACAGATAAGGGTGTAGCTTCACAGCATCCTAGTTTGCCAGGTGGGGGATCTCTTGCTCCCTGCCCGCAATCCAGGACAGAATCCAGGGAGGGTGGGAATCTAAATGTCATCACTGCATAGTGCCATTTATTTTAACTGTAGTTGGTTCTAGTTGTTTAGTTTCTAAGGAGATGGAGTTGCATTAAGTTGTGAAGTACTAATCTTACACGTTTACATGTTTTTCTTAAACATGGATCAGCTCGATACTAACATGGGTATACAATTATTCAAGAGTCTTTGACTCAGGCAGTACCTACCTCACTTTGTGAGCCTGTCTTATAAATAGGACAAACTGAGTTTTACTAAATATCCAAAACTGCTCTAAGACAAAATTCTTTATATGTAGAGCATTATTAGGCAGTTTGCCAGAGATTGCATCATGTGGACTGCTTTGGAGATCACAGCACATTGGAAGACAATTCATTCCTTTATGTACAAGAATGAATACAGCTCTCAGCAATGTCTGCAATGCTGTGCTGACAGGAAACGTTTCATGAATTGACGGCTTAAGTTGGAAGCATGGTAAAATATGGTCAACAGAAAAGGGAGAGAATGGAGAGGACTAATTTACTGGATGCTTACTTTCACTGGCAATGTGATGAGCTTTCTTAATTTACAACTTTTCGTTGCTTATATTCTGTACCTAAAAAACCTTTTCCCCGTTGTGCCTGTAAGAGACCCAAAACTGTATTCAGTTCTTATACACTGGCACTGCTCTGTTCCTGAGTTGCTAAAATGATGCTGCATTTGTGTTTTAAGGAAGTGTTGTAATGAGAAGTTTAGTGATAAAAGCTCCCTATGTTTACACTGTAGAAACACTTGGAACTTCCGCAGATTTGATTGCACCAATGTTACAGGCAATGTCATATTTTAAAAGCTTCTAATATGTCATCTGTCTTAGTCCTAGGAGCACTTCGCTGCTCTTGTCCAGTCATTCTGCTGTTAATGCTTTCCTTAATCCATCCTCTGGCTCTATGCCAAGGCTTTTATTTTAAGGGTTCTTATTTATTCTCCACGCTACTTACCAACTGTCATGTATTGTTGACATCTCTGCCACCTTTTTTATCAGCTTTTCCCATGAGCAGCTTCATGCTGTGTTTGATATTGCTATCAGTGGAAAGGCCCTCTTGGATAATCCAGAAAGGAATCAAATCCAGTCCACATCTGTAATGAGGCACGTATTAATCTTCCTAGATATCACCTACAAGAAATGGCTTCAGAATACAACCTGAAAACTACCACTTCCTTGGTACTCCATTTAGGATGCCATGTTCCTGTCACTACTTTTCTCTCACTCCTCATGTTCTTAGTGGATCTACCTTGTACAGTGTTAATAAAAGCTGTGTGAAGGACCATCTTCTTTATGTTCAACATCTGTCAAAGAGGATACAACTTTGATCTCTGTGTAAAAAAGTATATTTAGTAGAGCAAAGAATAGCTCATGCAAATTCACTAAATGTAAACGTGATTTTGTTTTACTTTCCTGATTGATTTGATTGACCTATGTTGACTGCTACTGACACCCCCTCAATCAATTTGAAAAGCTGGTGAAATTCCATTTAAGTATTAAGATGGCGGATTAGTTTGAGTATTCTGTTTAGTGATATGCATAATTGGAAAATATTTCTCATGCTTGTGAAGAATTGTGCTTAAGGTTTGGCATTATGAAAGAACTGTTGAATACACTGGCTTATTAACCTTTCCCAGAAAGGACTTGATAAAGACCTTACAAACTAACTCACATACAAAGTATTTGAATACAGATATTAGTTATACTGATAATTTAGATAATGTTTGTAAGAAGAGGAAGGCTATAAATTGTTATAGTTGTCTGATTTAAATTTCATAGCAGCATCTTAATCTCTTTGGTGTTGCGGGTTGGCTGACCTATCTTTTTTCTTTTCCCCCATCAGCTAATAAATCTGGGAGGTGACCATATCTTTAGGTGAACTCTAAGTCAATGGATTTGGCTAAAAAGGACAGTATAAAAGACGCTTTGCACTCAGAATTTCATCATTGAAGGCTAATATACACTTTGAATCCATTTAAAACCGTATCACACCAGAATACTGTATTCTTTCAGGGATAGGAATTAGGTTCATATGTTTCTGAGCCAGTTAAATTTCTTTTTAACGTTCTCCTCTATTTGTTTTGACCTAACTGATATAACAGAGCCTTAATAATTCTACTTATAAATCCAGATTAATAAATATTTGTAGTAAGCAAATGGAGCATTAGAGTGATATCAAAAACACATGACAAAGAGGACTTCTGAATTCCTGTTTCTCATTGCTGCTTGATTGGCTGTATTCATTACACATCCCATATTGTTTGAATATTCACATAAAGTAATTTCTATTTTTAATTTCAGTTATGCCGTAACTTAAGCTTTGAAGTAACTTCTGTATTTTATTTTCCAGTACCTTCTTCAAGTAAATTCCGCTCACCTGCAGCACCGTCTCCCCTAGCTCTCCGACAACCAGTGAAAGCATTTAGTAACCATGGACCCGGTTCAGTTGCTTCTCCAGAAGCCACGCAGCTGACACACAGTACTTCTTTACCAGGGCCTCTTGCAGCCCAGAGTTCAGGCTTGCCAAGCCCTGCCAGCAGTATTAACAGTACTACTCTTACCAGACCGGCAGGGACAGCAGGGATGAGGAGTGGTTTGCCCAGACCCAGTGCCCCTTCCACAGGGGGCATCCCAGTGCCTCGTAGCAAACTTGCACAGCCTGTTCGCAGGTGAGTATGTGACAGGCAGTCTTAGTTTGAAGTTTTCATTTTGTACGTTGTGTATTTGTGCTGCTCCTACCTGTAATTCTCATTTTGATCTCAAGGTCTTTAGAACAGAAATGGAGACCTCTGTGTGAAGTATTTGCCTATGTTTCCAAAATAGATGTGAAGCAAAACTGAGAGAAAAAGGTTCTTATAGAATCATAGAATGGTTTAGGTTGGAAAGGCCCTGGAAGATCTTAGAGTTCCACCCCCCCTGCCATGGGCAGGGACACCTCCCACTAGACCAGGTTGACCAAGGCCACGTCCAGCCTGGCCTTGAACACCTCCAGCGATGGGGCCTCAACAACCTCTCTGGGCAACCTGTTCCAGTGCCTTACAACCCTCAAAGTGAAAAACTTCTTCCTAATGTTTAATCTAAACCTGCCCTCTTCCAGTTTATAGCCATTCCCCCTCGTTCTGTCACTCCAGGCCCTAGAAAAAAGCCCTTCCCCAGCTCTCCTGTAGGCCCCCTTTAGGTACTGGAAGGCCACAATAAGATCTCCCCGAGCTTTCTCTTCTCCAGGCTGAACAGCCCCAGCTGTCTCAGCCTCTCTCCTCTTGAATTAGAGTGAAGGTGAAGGAGTGAAAGTGAAATGAATAACACAAGACACTGAACTAAGTAAATAAAGTGTCGTAGTCTGGGCTGAGAAGGCAGTAAGAATTTGTCTGCCTGTGATAAAAAGTTGTCAAAGTATAGCTGGCAAGTGAAAATTCATTTGTACCACTGAGTGACACATTCTGAAGTCAGAACTATTTTCCTCTTGTAATCTAACTCAAGCAGTGGTACCACGGTGAGAACAGTTTCTCCTTGGGCAGGTAGAAACTCTAGGAAGGAAGACACTTGAGGACAGAGGAGGCAGCCATAGCATTTGCTAAACTTAAAGTAAAAATCAATGCAGTTAACCCACAGGACAAAACAGCTTAAACATAACCTCTGTGCTAGCACCCAGCTGTAGAAATTGCTTAATGTCAGACTTTCAGAAAACAACCACAAGAGAGACCAAGTATTAACTGGAAAGGCTACACGGACAGTTTGTCTTCAAGAGAATCAGAAGGAAGTGATGCGTAATTTAGAATATGTGCTCTTAATGCCATGCTAATGTGGATTTTCACTGAAAGTGTCAAGTGGAAGCCAGCTGACATAAAGAAGCAGACATCCATGAGAAATACTAAGAATCTCCTTAAACAAAAAGGATAAACAGTTGGTCTCCAGTACTGTAAAAAAGATAAACCAGCCATAAATAGCAAAGTGGAGGAGTTCTGCTCTGCAGTGAGTGTTGGGCAGGGGAATGTCAAGTGACTGTCACAGTATTGGCTGTTTCGCAGTCCAAGTCTGTGCTGTCAGCAGTATGAAACTTTGTGTAATAAAAAGCAGTTGGTTTTGAAAGAGACTTCTTAATAGTACCAAAGTGTGGTTGTCCAAATCACAACTTGTCTTATAGAAAAGTGTTTCACTTATTAAACTTATACAGGTTTGTGTTTTTTTTTTTTTTCCAAACTTTACATACATAATACGGCCTTCCAGTTCCTAAAGGGGGCCTACAGGAGAGCTGGGGAAGGACTTTTTACAAGGGCATGTAGTGATAGGACGAGGGGGAAAGGCTTCAAGCTGGAGGAGAGTAGGTTTAGATTAGATATTAGGAAGAAATTCTTCACTGTGAGGGTGGTGAGGCACTGGCACAGGTTGCCCAGAGAAGCTGTGGCTGCCCCATCCCTGGAGGTGTTCAAGGCCAGGCTGGATGGGGCTTTGAGCAACCTGGGCTGGTGGGAGGTGTCCCTGCCCATGGCAGGGGGGTTGGAACTAGGTGATCTTCAAGGTACCTTCCAACCCAAACCATTCTATGAATGCAGTATCTGTACACAATGCAATAATGAAGTATCTGTGAATGTCAAGGTTTTGATGTAAGCAAAGTGTAGTACTCTAAACAAGGATTTCCCTGTTTATACATAACTGAAAAAAAAAAAAAAGGCCTGTTTTTAGGTGGCAGCAGGTAAGTTTGTATTCTCACAGAGTATAATAGCAAAAAGTTTTCTGTCTATTTTTGCAGATGTTTTTTTGACATGGTAGTTGCCAAGATACAACACATAGAACCTGAAACTGAAAATACTTTAGGGTTTATCTTAAGTAAACTGTATTGCGGAGAAGTAAATGAGTCAAGCGTATATTACAATTATTTATAAAATGTTTAAATTCTTATGTATTGTAACTGGAGACTTTAGCAGTTATGTATGAAAGTGAAAAATATCTCATTTTATTTTAGATCATTACCCGCTCCCAAAACCTATGGCAACGTGAAAGACGAGAGTTGGAAAGATGGCTGCTACTGAACTGCAAAGCTTAACACAAAGTTTCAGTGCTCGTGGATGCTTCCTCACCAGGCTAAACGACAGCTTGATTACACAAACTGTTCAGATGTGACTTTTGGGATTTGTAAAAATTCCAGACCTCTCTGTCTCTAATTAGCACAAACTGGCAGAGATTCTAAAGCAGCACTTTAATGACATCTAACATCAGATGTTTGGTGGTCATACAATCACTTCTACATTAAATTGCTATCAGTTCTGGGTTTTTTTTTTTCTTGCTTGCTAAAAATGTATCAATATGAGCATTTATGACAGTGGCCAATGTCTGGGCAAAAACCTAACGAATGCCAAAGAAATGCCCATCTTGAAAAACAGCAAGTATAATAGTCAACTTACATTGTCCAAAACTTCATTTTCAGCCTGTTTTAATTCAGCAGAAAGATTGGTGAATATGTACTATTGAAACAAGACTACGTTAATCAGAGCTAATATTCTGATTGCAGACTGCTACGGTGGTAGTGAAACATTGCTTTTAACAATTGTATGAGATTCTCTTTGGGGAAAGTGGTACGTACATCCTTCAGAAAGAATCCAAAGTTACCCTGGAGGATTAGGCAGAACAGTAAGTAGTAGCCATGGCTTTTATTAACATTAAAGGTTTGGATGTAGCAGACACACACAAATGCAATAGTATAGATTGCATCTTTCCTATGTTGATTTCTCAGCTTTATATGCTGTTATATGTTTGATTGCCAAAAGGGCTTAGTATCAGTTGTACAATCTTTCTAACCTTAAAATTCCTGGCTCAGGAAAGATGGCCTTTGCTATTGTAGCCACATTTTTAACACATGGCTCGCTATTTGGGGAAAACTTTCTTTTTTATAGCAGGTTTCCTTACAAAGGAAAGAGCAAGTCATAATGTTCATTTGTTCTAACACCACTATGCTTGCAGCCTGGAGCAACTGTAAATGCTGATAGTTAAGGAGAAGGAAACACAACTATGCACTTGTAACATACAAATTTTAAGGTAATGAGTTGACTCTTGATGCCAAATGATATTCATTTAGGTGACGTTCCATGGTATGAGGGAGTTTTCTGTATCCTATTTTTTTACTTTCATCCATTTCTTAAATTGGTTTATCTTAAATTGTAAATATTTTTACAGAAGATATCGCCCATGTAAGTGTGTTTAAATATGTACTTTGCCTTACATTTGTGTATCTTACATTACTGGTAACAGAGTATGAAACCTGCAATGTCTGTTTACAAGCTATTAAATTCCTCTGGTGGTTCTGACTTACTCTAACACATCTTGCTCAGAACAACTCGTTCATATATTCAGCGTTTGAACCATTGTTTTCTGTTTTGGAAGACATCATGCAAACATATGTAACTAAAGTTGTATTGGGGGGGACTAGTTAAATGGAAGGGATTTTGTTTGAAGCTTTTTCAGTATTTTGGATGTACAGTTGATGAAGTAAGAGAACGTGAATGGTATATCCTTTGTGCAATGACTGACGAACACTACAAGTTGGATTGGACGGTAGGTAGCCTTCAGCCCCATCAGTATCTGAGTTCGGAACTGCTGGTGTATTTTGACTCCCACCACTAAGAGGATAACTAACCCTGAAATTCTAGCACTTGAATTTTAGGCCACGATTAACATATTCCTGGATGAAAAGCCATGCAATACTACTTGACTTGGAAGAAGCCAAATAGGAAGGAGTGGAGACTAATTTGCAGCTCTCATTACTCGAGCAAACTTTGGGTTGATGAATGACTTCACACTCCAGACCAAGATCTGTGCTGAGACTTTGAAGTCGGGGTATCACATATACTGCAATTCAGTAAGATTTCAGCAGAGATAAAGAAACTACCTTGCACCGGAAGCCCAGTACATACCACTAATCCCGCCTTGTGTCATTCACTGGCACAGATAACGGACATCAGTATCTCGTGTCACTATTAAGCAGAAGAGAGGACTAGATCAAATGCACATATTCTCACTAAAGCCCGAATTTTAACATTTCAGCATTTTACAAAGCAATGCTGCAGTCTTCATTGAAACAAAGGTGAATTTTAATTGGTGGATTTTATCAAACACTTGATTGACTTTTAAAGTTTGGAAGTCAGTTTAGATGACGATATTGGGGGTTTTACTATGGCTGCATCAAACTGTTGTGTACGTTTCCTTAAGTTAAGTAATTCATCACTGGGGTAAGTTCAGCTTAAGTTTTATAAGGATTCTTTTCTCTGCTGTTCTCCCCTGAAATACAGCAAATGACTTCCTGAAAAGACAGACTGTCTGTTTACTAGAAAGCCTTTGTGCATTACCAGTTTATCGATATCAGGAAATCACGGGGCTCTGTGTTTAGAGATTTACTGCAGAAGTGTGGAAATACGGATTTGATAAACTAGTGCCTATGATTTACTTAACTTATGTTTGATATAGTAGTAAGGGTTTTATGAATGTGGATTACTTTTTGTGCCAACAGCTCAGAATTGTTGTATGTGTGTAGGCAGAAGGACTTGTTCTGCTTCCAAAGTTATTTAATTTTTTGTGTTTGAATGTTTTTGTAAGTGTTAAAAGTGTAAAAAAGAAAAATATATAAAATATTCTTACCACATAATACTTCCTGAGTCATTATTTTTATAACAAACTGTTTTTAAAAGCTTTTTGAAATGTAGACGGGCTTTTTTGGTTTGTTGGGTTGTTTTTCAAGAACCATTTCATTTTTCCAGAAGTTACCAACATCGCCTTCTGCCCCCTGCAATTCATGAACGCAGTACAACGATGTATTTGGGTGAAATGTGTCATTTCATTGACAGAGCAGGGTATGCTTGTGTTGTGCCTCTGCTCCACAAGGACAATGCCTAATTCAGAGTTAGGTGAAAAACTATAGGCTGAATTTGCATCCAGAGTGATATGTTTGTGCAATTCTAAGTACACAAGCTGCCTTTCTACTTTTACAAGATTCATGCTTACTTCAGACATGAAACAAATCTTTCATTTTGAAAATTCTGGAATTTATGCAGAAAATTGAGCAACGTAAAAGTTGTAAGCCACCTTTGAATTGTTAAGTACACATTGTATCTAGCTCGTATATGAATGCCTCTATCTTTTGGCTCACAGAAAAGCAAGAAGTTTGTTTTGAACTTGGTAACTTTCTGTAATCTGCATTTTGCTACAAAGCAACTTATCCAATAGTAATGTGAATGACATCTTTTTCTTATCTTGATATTAATAAAGTTAAGCTAGGTTTACTTCTCTATGGTGGCAACTTACTATTAAATCTGTTTACCAAAATTTACCCATGAGGCTTGCTAGTCATTGTTTATCCGAGCGTAGTCCCTTATTTTATAATTAAGCCAGTAAATTAAAATGTTTCCCCCTGGTTGGCTGACCTGGTTATGTAGAGCTGGCTTCACACCTACTGCTTCTAAAATGTGATTTGCTACCACTGCCTTCATGGCTTTCCAGTTCTGCGGCCAAGTACCATTTGCCCCACACCCCTCCAGGAAAATTAGAGCAGTGTCAAAATCACAGGCAATTAATAGCCTTTCCCGCTTCTCTTTTAGTAGGTTTCTGTAACAAACTCTTCTATATTAAACTATTGCAATATGATGATACTAATTATAAACAAGACTCCAGATAGAAAATGAAATAATCTACAGTTATTTTGAGCGAAGGTATAACAGCTCCTTTGGTTTTGGTGTAGATGTGCCAGGTCATGTTTTATTCCGTGGTGCGCTACCCTCTAGGAGTCTGACTGCAATGGTGAAGAAAAATAAGTGATGAGCATGTAAGGAGGCAGAAGCTTATGCTGCTCAGGTCTTGGAGTGGCTGCAGAGCATGCAGTTTTGATCATTTAAAACATCTTTTAATACAAATATATCTGAGAAAAAAAACAGATGTGGGAAACATGACAGTGATGTGTCTTCAGTCCCTCTTTTTGATCTGTAAGAACAGGAGTAAACTTCGAGGTTGTTTTTTAATTTTTACTTTTTAAGTGAAACAGGTATGATGTGAGGTTGCTTTGATCAAAAAAAACCCAACCAAACAACAAAAAAACCCAAATAAAAACAAAAAAAAAAGCCCACCTGCTCTTGCCTTGTGTGTCTGCTCTTCTGTAGTAGGAGGCTGACACCTACAGGCAGTCTAGCTGTAGTCCTCGCGTTTCAGGAGGATGAGGCGGGGAACCGAGCGCTCTCTGGAAGATCCGTGTTTTACACAGAACTTCACGGTAAAGAAGATGCTCTCTGCTCCAAGAGTTAAAGAACTGAAAGGAGGAGATTCCATTAGACTCGCTTTCCACAGGATTGTTTTATAATAGTGTTTTCAGCCCTGGTATCTCATACAGTCGTACTGGGCATTCCCCTTTACGCGAAATGGTAAAACTCTGTTGTGGCTACATTAAGCGCTTACAGGACAGAAAACAACTAATTTTCAGATCTTCAGCCGGATGCAAAAGGAACAATGATTCCTTACCAGGAAAGGGATTTTTCAACTTGGCACATCATCCATACCTGTTACAATCACTGAATTAAAAAAAAAATTAAAAAATTAAAAATTATTAGCCTAGAAAGCTGGGAAGGCTGATATTCTCTGTCGTGTGGCACTCTCACATGAGACAAAGCAGACTATATCTTTCATAAGACTGAACAAAAGAAGATACTTCTACTGTAATCTGAGCTCCTATCATCTAGGTGCCCCCTGCTCTAGCCCCAGCATCGCTGCACTTGGACTCCCAGCTGCCTCCTCTGTTTGTCTGAAGACACTCTTCCTAAGTTGGCTGCTTCCCTTCAGACATTGTCAGCAAACAAATCTGTGCAACCCATTACCAAAGCTTAGTTACCTGACTGACCCTTACCTCCCGTTCACTCAGCGGGGTGAACACTGCCGTAGCATTTCACAGCTGCTGCTCTCTCTGTGCTTCAGACAGGTGCCAAAATGCTGACGGGAGAAGGCGATGCTGGCCCAAGCTCTGGATTATGAGGAGTTTGGTTTGCACCCTGTTCGGGCGGAGGGTAAGGCCAGCTGCAATGCTGCCTCATAGAACCTGGTACGTGCCGAGTTAAGGGAGCGCTACGTAATCTTTCTTCTTCAAGCAGGGCTCTGTCTTATTGAAGAACGGCAGGGCAGGAGTATCTTGTGCCATCTTAAATATTCCTTTGTCACTCTCCTCCTTTAGAAATGAAATTTTATTGAAGCCCATGCTGCCACTTTGAGTCCCCTCGCAAAGAAAAGGGGACCGGGGGGGAGATGAGGCAAACCCTCTGCTCTTCACGCTCTGCCTCAGCTCCTGTCTTAACCTCGCATTTCTCAGCTCTACAGTCATCCATTCACCCCTACATTTACTCACCCAACCACGCAGCCCAGAGCAAGGTTGTATTGTTTTTGTTCATCCATTCCCCACTGGGCTAATGCAGACGCATAAAACCACTGTTAATGCTGCTTCAACTGACCTGTCCTCAAAGGAGTTGTTATGAAAAACCTTGTCCTGATTCTCGTCCTTTTAAAGCCATGCCTGGACGTCGGTGGCAGCAACGTGGTGTCACCCCCCTCACTCAGCCTCAGGAAAGCAGCCTGGAGCAGCCACCTCCATCCATGGTCAACCATG